TACATGCTCTCAAGGGGCTGCCGACTTATGGCGAACCTATGAATTACTGCAATGCTATTTGGACCTTCCTCTCCCTAGCAATCCTGCCCGCGTCTCGTGGCTTCTTGCCTGGAGTCCATCCATCTCGTGTCTGGACTCCTCTTTTCCTGCTGCCTCCCCGCTTTTTCTTGCATTATTATCCTTTCGAGCCAGTCTTGACTTCTCCTGATGTACCCAATGCAGGGCGGCCTCCGCAGAGGCGTGTTAGCTCTGCTGGGAAAGAGCTCCGACGTGACGTGACCGGGGACGAGTCCCTTGTCTGTGGTTCCCTCCTCGTGTTTCATCATTAATTGTCTAATTCTCCTGCGGGTCAGAGCTGTGGGCCATCAGGTGGTTTCGAACCGATGAATCCGCGGCGGATCTCGTTACCCCCTACAAAAGGTCTGACCCTGAGCAAGCCAGCCGTAGGTAGAATCCAGGCCTTCTTTGACCTAGACCCCGCTTTTGCGATTAAGACCTGGCGGGGCGGGATGGGCCGGACATTGCTGCGCCGGATCCGGCCCCCGTCGACTGCCAGGCCCATAAGCCCGGGGGCTTCGTGAATCCGGGCAGGCAAGCCGGCGCCGCCTTAACCGCTTCAGGGATCCCTGTGAAATCCTCCCTCCAGCTGGCCGTGGCCCTGCTTTCAGCTGGCCCGCACGTCTCGCATTGCCTGCCTTTCCCTCCGCCTTAATTGGCATCTCTGCTTCAGTCCCGCTGCGTTACACGGGAGTAAACCCCCTTCACGCTCCGCGGATCCTACTTCCGTATCAAATGAACAGGGCATGGGTTCTCCCCGATTGGGGTTGCGATAAAATCGTTTCGCGATCTCCTGCCCCGATTTAACTTGCCTGTGTTTAGGTGTCTTTCAAGACTGCGATCCTACACCCACTTTCCCGCGAGGAAACCTACTGAACTCAGTGAGGTAGACGCACGGGGGATCGAGGGCGGGTCTCTTCTTGTTTCCTCTCCCCCTCCCCCAGGTCTCCATCGCCCTTTGCCGAAGAACTCAATGGGATTTACTCCTAGGTAAGTGGGTGTAGCGCTGAAGCCTGCCTGTGAAGCTGCAGCTGCTCTGCAAGTTGCAACTGGCGTCATCATCATCATCATCATCATCATTATCATTGTTGTTCTTGAATGGATCAGGAGGAAAACGTCGGTCGCCCCAGGCTACGAACTGGGGGACGTTCTCCGGGTACGATCCAACGACGTTTCAGCGCCATTAAAGGCTGCGATCCTATCGTCGTACAGGAAGGAACAGGGGGGCCCTCCACAGAGTGAACGTGGGCGACTAAACACATGCAAGGATCCGAGCCCTCGAGCCCTCGATTTTTTTGAGGTGGGGGAAGGAGAAATTCAGCACCTTTTCACTGTGCCGGATAGAGCCCCGCTAACTTCGGAGGCGTTTCGTTTGCAAACAAAACTCCTTTGAAACTGGTGGGTCTTAGTTGCGAGTAGCAGAGCTCCTCATAGAAGACCGGTTGATGATGATCCCGCGAATATAGTATTAAACAGATGTGGTGGTGGCTGTTTCAAAGGGATGTGTGGTTTGGGTTTGAATTAAACTCACAACGAACCGAGTTGAATCCAAGGCCACGCTCCCGAAAATAATTCGGTTTCACGCGCCCCTCCGAACCAAATGCGGGCGAAGGCGCGGCGCTACGAATTTGTCTGGGACGAAGCAGCTCCTTTACTCCCAAGCAAGCCCGCCAGCTGGTAAACAAACTAAATAAATCCCACTCTGGTTCATTCCGGAATATCCAAGCGTAATGGATGAGCCTTTGACTGGCGGGGGGGGGGGGGGAGGGGAGGGGAAACCCTGTCACCGATTCGGACCGAATCCTGGCGTCCTTTTGCCGGAAAACTACCGGAGTTAGTTCGCCTTCGTTGGGTTTCTGAGCCTTAAGGTAAGATGGCAGCCGGTGTAACTCGCCTGGGTGCCCTTCCGATTCCAAACCAAGAAAGCGACGGCCGGGGAAAATCCTACAACCAGCTTCACTCCGGAGTCAAACCGGAGTAAGAGCTCCGTGGCTCTTACTCCTAAAAGTCTTCCGCCCGGCGACGCGCTGTTCATTCTTCGGCCAGCCCCCCCGTTCCTCCCTCCCCTTCTCGCGTTTCTTTGTGGCCTTTGCGGATTTCGCGTTAAGGTGTTTTTTGGTGGCTTCCTTGCTGGGTTTGGTTAGTTCCCACATCCCCTTGAAAGGGAGCGCTTCCAAAGAGCGAAGGGCCGGAGAGCGGATGGAGGTTCCAGAGCGCACTGAGTATGTTAAATAGCTCCATCGCTTCCTCACTCCGACCTCTCTGGCAGGGAGAAGTCCTGGCATTTCTGGCGGCCGCTTCTTGCCAAGGCGAGGACCTGCTGGATGAGTCCCGCTCCTGCGTTTTCGCCATCCATTCTTACTCTGGCTCTTATATCTCGTGGCCAGGACGCTTCTCCATTAGCTGGGGGTAAAGGCAGGGAACACGCGCTTTCGTTGGTTGTGTTTTAAAGAGGAAGGGCCCGATTCACCAGAATGCCTGCCGAAAGTGCCGCCTTTATTTTTGCCCACCTGAAATCGACCCGGGAGCAAGGAGAACCACCACAACAGAAATACACAATCGGAGTCTAGGAAAAATGGCCTTTTTTGAGTAGGTTTTTCAGATGACACCGGACTTCGTCTGCTCGTTGGGTTTCTTGCTGCAATGCCTTCCGGAAATCGACACCACGATCGGCTTTGCATCTCCTCGTTTGTGTCTCTATCATCTTTATGCCAAAAGTTTCACATTCATTTAAACGCGTCGGGTGTGCTGGAAATCGCTTTGGGAGGACATCAGTTTTCCCCTGCGAATTTTAAACACCCGACTCCAGAAATTCCAGAAAGAGATACATACTGTATATAGATTTCGATCCCGCCTCACTTCGGAGCCTCGATGTTCTTAAAACTTTTAAAAATAAAGTGGTTTGGTGGTGTGTATGTGTGTTGTTTTTTTGGAGGGGGGCATTTTTGGCTCTTTTTTCTGGCGATCATGGGACGGCGGCTTGGGGTGGGGGAGAAAAGCCAGGAGACTTTTAGCGGACATCTTTTATTCCAGATACGGAACGATTCTAACCAGGCCGTCCATTCAGAATCCCAGGCCGGATGACAGCGAATCTAGACGGCATTTAGTGAGGAGTAGGAATCACATCGCATCGCCGTATTCCGAGGCCGCCTCTCTTGGCGGAGAGATTTCGAGGCGAGGCCCCTTTGGGCTGCCGGATGCGCCTCCGGCGGGGGTCTGGCTGACACCCTTTTCCGGGCGGATCCGAATTCGGAGGCAGAGCCGGAGCGCTCCTTTCCGTCGGATTCAACGGGAGCGGGTAAAGACGCCTGGATTGGGCTGCCCATTCCGCTTCTCTGACAGGATCGGGCCCGTAGAGTTGAAAACAGTGGGCATTTTAAGCCTAGATTTTACACCTCGGTTGGGAGGCTGCCCGCTGCAGAAGAGGGCCCCCCTTCCCCTTCCTGTCCCAAAGGGAACATGAAGTGGAGGGCAGGGGAGGAGAGGAAACTTTTTTTGGGGGGGGATGGAAGGAAAAGTAGGAGGGAATTTCAAACGGCCGAAGCGCCGGGTGCACATCGGAATTTCCTCCCAGCGATAAAACTCGTTTCTCCAGAGATGTGAATTAATCTGTTCCAGCAAATTGGCTTCAGAGAGAAGGAAAAAAGCACAGGGACCGCTGGCCTGACGCAGGCCAGCTTGCGGCTGACACAGGACGCTGCGTCTATAGAAAGTGCTAGAAACGAGAAAGGGTCGGGGAAGGAATGGAAAGGCAGGGAAGCGCAGGACATTTCAGAGGGGCTGGACAGGTTAGGAAGGACGCGGCAGAGAGGCAGGCCCCTGCGCTCCGCTTGGAACAAAGAAGAGCCTGGTAGTACCCAGAAGCCAGCAGATTTGCGGTGTTTTGGCTGTAACGAGCTAATTCTGGGCCCGTTAAGCGTGGGCGGTGGCGCTGGGAGTGAAGGCTTCCTCCGGTCCGGGCTTGCTTTCGTCAGACTCCAAACTCCGTTTGGCCAGATGCGCGGTTCCTTGGTAGGGACTGTTGTTCTCACAGGGTCGGAAGACAGGATTCGTCCCCACCCGCCACCTGGATCCAGGAAGAACCCGCTGATGGTTTCAGGGTGAACCTGGGCTGAGCCCCGAAGTGGGGGAACCGTTTTGTTCCCCGGGAGCCTTAAAACTCCAAAGGACACCCCCCCGCGCGCGCGCATCTTCCTCCAGATTCATAAATTCCAGAAAAAGAAAAATACATACATTTCTAGGAGCGATATTCTCCGAAATATCAAATTAGGCTGCTCGATCTAATCCTTCCATTTGCTGTAACCTGATTACCCATTAATTTGTTTTGGCTGTGAACGGGGAGGAACCGAGCCGGTAACTCGATTAGGCGCAAATGTTATATCTTTACAACCGCATTTTACGAAATTGGTTTATACCTGGTGGGCTGCGGCTCGGGGCCCCCTCCCCTCCCGCTCCCTCCGAAGGCGAAGGGAATAAAAAGGGACCGGGCCGGGGTCTGGAGGACCACAGCGCCCAGCCGGGGCGGCGGCGGCCGGAGAGCCTCGATCCCAATCCCCGCCCCGGTGGCAGCGCGGCTGCGGAAAGCGCCCTGGCTTGGGAGAGACTACAACGCCCAGCATGGCCGGTGGGGGGTTCTGGGAGTTGTAGTACGACCCTTCCCTCTACTCCTCTCCCTGATGGTGGTGGTGGTGGTGCCTGGGGAAGGCAACCACTCGCCTTGGCAGTTTCGGACCAGGCGCCTGGAAAGGAGCCCCAGCGGGGACGCCCCGTCGGGCGCATCAGGCGGACGGCATCCCCATATCCTGCAGCCTCCTGCCCGGGCTTTCCGGGGCGCCCAGGAGAAGGCTCCCCGCTGCCACCACCCCCAGCCCGGCTCTGCCCGGCTCAGCCCCGACGGGAAGGGCGGGGAGGGAAGGGAAGGCCAGGGGTGTGTGTCGGCTTACCGGTGGAATAGGGCGAAGGCTGGTGCTCGCGGAGGGCGCCCAGGGCGCAGCCGGCGGTGCTGAGCGGCGGGCAGGCGGCCGGGCTGGCGGCGAAGCTGCTCCGGATGGGGTTGTACTGGAAGGAGTTGGC